TTTTCTCACACAAGATTGCATGCGTTCTTGGATGGATCAGTTTTTGACGTTTGTCACTTGACCTGGACACACTAACAACTGCTCCACGGTTGTCTGTTTTCAATACTACGCCTTTGTTCTGGAGTGGTTATTTCGAGCACAAGACCGCTTTGCCGCTGGTACCAGCTCAAAAGGAAGATCATCTACACCGTCGCATCCAATTTGGTCTCGTCTACTCGCAACATGTTCAGCCAGTTGGGATTTCTGAACTCATGCGCCTTTTCCGATGCTAATGTGACCTCGGGCTCCCACCAACCGACACTACCACATGAGCGCACCGGCTCATTCAGAACCTGATTTGGAGAGAAGGTCGCGATATTTGCGAAGAGTAAGCACGACTGAAAAGAAGGTATTGGCCTTGCTTTGGACCTTCCAATCTCCCAGACTACAAGTACAATGGTCCAGAAGTTGCTTCGTCCCAAACAAATGCTGTCTATAATCGTATTTCTTGGTATTTCCAACCATTTTTCCATTGGACAACTGTCCTCCCCAGAGGTTTTCCATTAGTCTCCCATTTCTTCGCCCCACTGTGCGCCTAACTCCTTTATGTCCCTCCATTCACATGTTAACTCAATTTGGCTGCGTCGAAGGGACAGTTGCCTTGGCAACCGGATGGAGTAGCTTATCTTCCTTTTTCGACATAAAAGGCTGCTTAGTAGTCCGAATGGATAATTGTTAATAGCTAAATATTATCATTGTCTGGTCCCGGTGATTTGCGTTTCCATAGCCCATATGTATGCTTAGAAAGGAGGTTAAGTAGTAAACTACATTTTGTGGGTTTCAAAAACATTCATCTACCCCACATTGTGCCTTCTTTAATCACTAGTACATTCAAAATTGTGAACATGTCATCCTTTTCAAAGGCCACAGCCAATGTAAAAATGCAATTTATTAAATTCATTCTCACCCGGAATTCTTCTTTCGCAAAACCATACTTACAGATGAGAAATAAGTAATGTAGCCAATTGTTATAGCAAATGTTAATTTGCTTCCTCGACAATACCACCAGACAAGGTGATATGCGAAAATGTTTGAGCTTACTTGAAAATCACATCTACCTTGTGATCCAAGGGTACTCGTGGCAATGAGGCGTAGTGTTTAATGTTTCTCGGTTATACGAATCGCTGTCATGGTTCGAGTCCCGCCGGGTAGGCTGTTAAGACCAGTTTTGGCAAGGTCAAAACCGCAATTCACTTCTGACAGAGTAAGAATACCGTTTTGGAGGCAAGGCCATGTGAACTCCATTTGATTTATAATGCCATTTTATTTACTATTTTTCATTTATATTTGTTTATTAAGTAATGAACTAATTTATTGTATAATAATAATAATATATGCAATAAGTATATATATAGGTAAACCTCTTTTTTTATACCATTTGCAGATTGGCAATTATTATCAAAAGAACTCGTGTCTGTAAGTAGCTATTTCGTATTAATGTATACCAATATCATAGTTTAGGAAACCCTTCATGCTGT